CCTCAATACATAAAAGGGTAACACATCATGACCAAGTGGAAGTCATCTCAAGAATGCAACATTGGTTTAAAATTTGGAATTTGATATAATTTGTTCACTAAGAGATTAAAGAAGAAAAATTATATGATCATATAAATAGAGACATAAAAAGCATTCGGCAAAACTTAACACCTATTTCTGATACAAACTTCAGCAATTTAGGAATAGAAGGGTACTTCTTTCACCTAACAAAGAGTGTGGGGGGATCCCAAGATCAAATGGAATCTGTGATGCTTGAGCTGTGCAGTGTTTGAAAAGACTCAAGAGTGGAGGATCCAGGGTTTGCTGGCTGTGCCACACTGGGAAAGCTGCTCACCCTTTCTGAGCTTCAGTGCCCTTCTCTATAACTGGATTAATGTAGCTTATCATATTATAGTGCAATGGGGATTAACTGAGATAATGTACTTGGTATGGACCGTCTTTAAAAAATTTATTCTTTTTAAAAATTTTTAAATTCAGTTAATTAACAGTGTATTATTAGTTTCAGAGGTAGAGTTCAGTGATTCATCAGTCTTATATAATACCCAGTGCTCATCACATCACGTTCCCTCCTTACTGTCCATCACCTAGTTACCTCGTCCCCCCAACCCCTCCCCTCCAGCAACCCTCAGTTTGTTTCCTATGATTAAGGGTCTCTTAAGGAAGTTTTACATTTTTCTCTCTGTTCAGCCGGACCCTTTGTTAGAAAAAATCTGAGTGAAAATTTCTCCATTTCCTCATCTATTAACCTCATCCCCTGGCCCATTCGTGTGTCCATCTGGTCAACCACCATTCACAGTGGTTGGCTCTGTCCGAGGCCCTCAGCCTTGTGCTGGGAATACACGGGTTGACAGGAGGGTCTCTGCCTGCATGCCCCAAGTTTGCTGATGATGGACAGAGGAAGACTTGACACTTGCGGGGGGTACGGGAGGGGCTCTGATCATCACACAGATGTGAGCAGGAGCCCTGGAGCCCACGTGGGGTGGGGTCAGAGGCACCCTTTGGCAGAGACCTTGAGCTGAGTGCTGGAGGGCTGGCTTACCAGTAGAGGGGCCACCTGTCCCCCTCCCCATGCAGAACTAGACTGAGAAGCCAGGTTTTCTTATTCTTGGGGAATTATTGAGTCCTCTATACCACCCTGGCCTGCCTAGCAAAGAACACCTGGTGTAAGAGGTGGAGCATGAGGCTGGACTTTCATGTGTCGGGAGAAGAATGTGCAAAGGCCCAGGGGCCCACAGGAGATGACTTGTGGACACGCTGTGCTGTTTGAAATTGCTGGGGTTTAGGAGATCTCAGCAAGGGGTGAGGATGGAGAGGCAGAGGCCAGAGCCAGGGGAGCCCTGTGGCCTGAGCCAAGAAGTAGGGGGCCTTAGCCTGTAGGTCATGGGGAGATTTTAAAGGGCTCTTGGCAGAGTGTGCCGTGCTGACATCTGACTTTTAGAAAGCTCATTCATGCGACTGGGCAGAGGGGTGGAGGGAGGGAGAAGAGGCTTCACGTGAATGGCCGGCCGTGTGGCTGGGACAGACATAGTGCTCGTGTAGGTGGCACTGCTCAGCCACAGGTCCTTGGAAGGCAGAAGCAGCAGGATTTGGAGTGGGACCAGATGTGCAGGGGCCCAAGGTCACGGGGAGGTAATGCCCCAGTTTTGCCTCCTATAGACTATGTGACCTTGGGCACTTGTTTTCTGTGAACCCCCAACTCCTCGTGGGTCAGATGAGTCTACAGTCCCTCCTCTGCCTCCTCACAGATTCGTGAGATGGGCAAGCAAGGACACTGTCTACATGGTAAAGCGCCATCAGATAGGGTTTGTCATGATCACTGAACTCAGGGGTTGGCAGGCCGGGGCTTGGGGACCACCACTGGCTTGCTGCCCATTTCTGTCAATAAGGTTTTCCCAGCACAAGCCACACCTGTCTGTTTCCGTCTTGTCTTGGTTGCATTCTTGCTGTGACCACAGAGTTGAGTACTTAACACAGAAACTGCATGGCCTTGAAATATTTACTCTCTGGCCCTTTCCTGAGAAAGACTGCTGGCTTCTGGGTTCAGTCATCGGTTATGGTTTTGCCAAATTTAATTTTTGATTGACATAAGAGGATTCTGGAATCCCTTGTGTTTACTGATTTGACTGCTATCAGGCAGGAGTTCCTGTGGGTATCCGGCTTCTCTTGGACCTGGCGTGGAATGGCTTCTCGTAAGGAAGGGGGTATGGCCAAGGTCACAGCCCTGTCAAGTTCCTCTCCTGTGGAGAACAGGGAGCACGTTCATGAGAGTATTCACTTGGTTTCTGTTACATTAGCCTGACTGCTCTTCATTTCACTTATTTCCCGATTTCCTGGCATAATTCTGTTTCTCTACCCCCCCTCTCCCCGCACTTTGCTTTCTTCCATTCTAATTAACAACCTGTGGAATCAAAAAGTAGAAACCAAACTACATTATGGCCAATCTTGCTGCACTTCTCAGCTCCAGCCAGCACACAACGTTGTCGCTTCTTTGGTTCAAACCCCTGTGCCTTTTCTGGCTCCGAGGATGGCAATTACATATTTCAAGACAGACGAGAACCAAGGGAAAAGGCCGCCGGCCTCGTGGGTCTGCCTCCCTCCTTGTTATTCCTTTTCTTACCAAAGAAACCAATTTGGACTAAGTTTTTCTGCTAGGCCTCCAGCAATTCTCAGCTCCAGAAATACCGGGAGGATTGAGAAGCTGCATGTGCTAGTAAATATTGTCTGTGTTTAAAGCAAATAGAGAAACATGTGAAGCACAAACACGAATCACCTTCATTTCTCACATCACTTTCACTCGCTAAAATAGAGTCTGTGGCAAAGCCTACTTCGCAACATGTGCTCTCAACCCTGAAAATGGTCCCCCCTTCCCAGGCCATATTTCCATTTAGTAGCGAGGAGGAAAGAAAAAAAAGGAAGGAAGAAAGAAAGAAATCGAACATCGGTGCGGGCAGAGCCCTCGGAAGCAATGGAGCCAACGCTTCTCGCTGTACAGCGGGTGCAGGTCCATCAGCGTGCCACACTCATTATTTATTTACACCATCTACCATGGGGCAGGTGCTGGGCAGCTGAGCGTTTCTTCCTCTGGTCAGGAGTCCCTTGTTCCTTCATCTGCTATACAGTCAAAGACTACTGACCACTGCCGTCCTGAGCGAATGACCAGATCTGAAGCACCTCCCATGTCTCAGCCCCTAGGACATCCCTCTGTCCCTGACCCCTTCCCTTCTGGCTCCCCCCAGCCATTCAGCTCAGTGTATCCCCCTTGTAACCACCACTTGCGGCTTTCCGGGTGTCACCTGAAACTGGCCTCTGGGCGCTGAGGGCAGGGAGGGACCCCAGAAAGGGGCGGCCACTCCAGATGGGTAGGGGGCAGATTTTAGAAGCAAGGGAACTTACATATGAGGCGGGGCTTGGACACTGTAAGGTGAGTAGGGCTCGACACCTGCCTGCCCAGTCTTTAAAGTTTATATAGAGGCCTTAACTGGGTTCAGTCATGTAGACCACCCAGATGGTCTCAGCACCACATCACTAGCTCAAGGCTATGCCCTGGGGGCAGCCTCTGGAGCAGGGAGGGCAGTGGAACCTAAATTCCAAGGATAGGGAAGAGGATGAGGAGCCTCCGATCGCCTAGGGCCACCTCATGGCTCGACCAGCGGATAAGTCTTCCTGATGACCTCCCCTAACTCCATGGCCTCCCTTGGGGATTCCTCCCCCTCCTACAAGGGGGACACATGCCACATCATCCCTCTGGCCCTCCTGCCCTATCACCGCTTTTGTTGTTAAGGGTTTTTAGGGGGAAAGAACACAGATGTAGAGAACAAATGTGGGAGAGCAAAATATGCTCCTGAATCCCAGTTATTTGCCCTGTGTGTGGCTTCCGATGCCCCCTGGAGACGGACCCAGATGTCCGCATTGATACCTGCCTACTTCTCTGATTCCCAAGGAGCTCCTTGAAACTCCCATCATGGAGACTCAGCTCTGTCTTTCTCCAGAAAGGCCTCTCTCTTTTCACCCAGGCCTGGAGCACCATTATGGTGAGACCGTGGGTGTGGACCTGCATCCCGACAGCACGAGGTATGCTCTCTGCTCAAGGAACACGAGGCAGTTCAGCTCTGCTTGAGCAGATGATGTGAATACTGATACAAGGAGTCTGACCCAATTCAAAGGACTCCTGTGGAAGGGTTCTGGGGAGATGCTGACATGATCAAAGCTAAACTTGGGTAAATTTAATCTGCCAGGGATCGTAGGTTAGATTGGAGGGGATTAAGCCTGGAGAGGAAAGCTTCATTAGGCAGGACTTCAAGGAAAACCTGCTAATAAAAGAGAAACAGAATCTGAGACCTGTGAGTATTAAGCCAAATTTACCTCCAGCTTTCCTCCGCGGGATCAGGCACCATGGGAGAGAGGCCTTTGGACATCTTTTCAAAGAATGACCAGGGACGGTTGCATGCCCTACGACGATGGGTAGAGAGGGAGGTCTGAGTGGGAGTGGCCCTCATGAAGAATCTCCCAGGCCAAAGGCAAAGGTGGGGCTCAGAAAGGCAGAAACTGAGTTTGTCAAGGAAACCTGAAGGGTGGGTTTAAAGAGCTCTTAATGTCACTGTTCAAGATGGGCTGGTTGGTCTGAGTACAGGTCTGTGTGCTGAATCTGGCCAGCACACCTTCTCCGACAGGCTGTTTTTTGCTGGTTCTGACCAATTTTCCAGGAAATGTTGGCTCTTGGGGAGCCTGGGTGCCTCAGTGGGTTAAGCATCTGCCTTTGGCTGGGGTCATAATCTCAGGGTCCTGGGATCCAGTCCCCAGATGGGCTCCCTGCTCAGCGGGGAGTCTGCTTCTCCCTCTGTTTGCCTCTTCTCCCTGCTTGTGCTCTTGCTCTCTTAAATAAATAAAAATCTCTTTTCTTTTTTTTTTAAAAGAAACTTTTGCCCTGATTCCTTCCTCAGAGCCCTGACTCTTGCTGTCTTACTCTCTTACGGTTCAAGGTCATGCACAGGCATATGCTTAAGACTCGGCAAAGATCTCCTTGACCAAACCAACCAACTAACCAGCAACCTTGGACCAATGAGAGATCCCTACCTGATTGTGAATGTGGGCTCTGTGTGACCCTGGACAAGTCTCTGTATCTTCTCTGAGCTCCAGTTTTCCCACCTGTGAGAACACTTACGTTGTTGGGCTGTGGCGGGAATGAAATGAGGTAAGGACCGTGTCCGACACAAAGTGGGGCTCCTAGAAAATGCTGGCAACAAGTATGACCTTGCCTGTCGGTCATCTGCTGTTTGCAGGTACTTCAAGCTCCAGGGAGCCTTCCAGAGGCCTTGAGCTGGGTCAGCCGGCAGGGGCAGCTGAGTGATGCCCACCTGCCGTTTAATCCCTCCCTGATTGCTCGCTCACACACCGCTCTCCTCTCTCTCTGCGGATCTACCTCTCTCCCCAGAGACAGAGAAGATGGATCACCTTCTTGAAGAGGCATTGCTCATGTCACCACCTGCCTGACCCATTACAAGATTTAAACTGTCACTTAATTTGTTCCCCATTATGTGCAGACACAGCCTCACCTTTGGCAGTGCTTGGAGGAGGGGCCGGGGAGGAAGTGACGAAGGCAGGATGTGATTGGCTTCCAGGGGGGCCTTTCTGGCTTCTCCAGGCCCTCAGAGGCTGTGGGGAGAGATTGGTTTTCAGCAGCCGGGGGTGTGTGAGCTGGGGTTGGGACTGGCCACAGGCTCGGAGAGGGGACCGATTGGGTGGGGTGTGGAGGCTTGTGAGCAGAGCTCAGCTCTCTGCATCAGTGGATTTTTTTTTTTTTTTAAGTCACAGCTTTCTGGAAACCCTTCACCTTATGTTAACTTCCCCTGAAATGTTTCTCTTAAGAATTCTGGCTTGTGCACAGAATATTAAGCTGTGCTGCATCCCCTTGACTCCTGGGATGGAATTTGAGGTAATCAGCCTTTGAATTTCCAGGTGCCCTTAATCTTCTTTGACCCACACGGAGCTGCAGATTAGCCTGTGAAAAATCATATGTAACCATTTCTTTAAATCCTTCCGTGGCTTATTTCTATGGGGATTTTGAATCGTGGAATGCTTCTGAGCTGAAGGCACGTAAGAGGTTGTTAGCACAGGAAGATGAGACTTGCCTTCCGATTGTCCATGTTCAGCCCGTTCGTTCAACGTGCAACCCCGGCAAGGCGAGTGTGCCCACTGTGGGCTCGGTGCTGTGGTTGTTGTATGGGGGTTCACCCTCACTGGGGCTCTTTGGACTGGTATTATTGTTCCCATTCTACAGATTAGGAAACTAAGTTTCAGCAAAGGTAAGTCACTCATCCAAAGACACCTGGCCACTTAGCGTCAGGGTCTGTATTCAGATTTACAGTTTCTACTCTTTCTATTTTCACAAGATGTCAGTTTCTGCTATAAATATATTTTCCATGGAACCAGGTGCCAGAGCAGAGGTGGATTTACCAAGAGGCCAATGAAGATGAAGCTTCGGGGCCCCTCGCCCTATGTTCACATGATCAGGTCTTTCTGTAAAGTTTGCAAACGTAAGCTATTGTATCTGTAATTGATTAAGACCGTTGTTTTGTTCCACTCTGATTTCCACTTGATCACACTTCCCCTCGGGTCAGGGAGGCACAGAGTGGATTTCCTGGGATTGGCCACAGTGGACTGATTTGGTTGTGCTTTTTGCTTGTGCTCAGTGGGATATATTCACATGGTCCCAGTTACTTTCAGGGAGACTTAAGTTACTGCTGCTTGTCCTGGGGGACAGGGCTTCCAGGGACCCTCCTTGTGGCACTGTGCTGACTCACCTGGTATCAGGATGCAGAGGTGTGGGGTCAGAGGTCATATTGCAGGCTGAACATGTCCCAGGGCAGCAGGCATCAGAACTGTGTGGGTGGCACTGGAAAAACAAGGCATGACATATAAAGAGCCAGAAGCTGTGGGAAATTCTTCCAGTCATGAGATGCATAAAACTCTTAAGTGCGTGTCCGGTTTTCATTCAATGGTCAAATGGAAGTTTTCCTGTTGAGAATAGAGTTGATAATATACACAGTTATACATTCACTACACTTTTGTTATTTGAGGAGAATCAAGTGAAATGGAATTTCTCAGAATAACTATTTGTAGAATACAAACCTGCAGGAAGACCAAATCAGCAAGTCTGTCTGTGCGTGAAGTCACATGTTTTATGTGCCCCAACTACTACTACTAAGAAATAAATTAATTGATCCTGCTGGAGGAAAGATCGAATTAGTTTTTTATTGTCTTTATATAAATCAATAGGTATGGCAAATCATTGCCAAAAGAAAAGAAAATCAAAGAGCATAGAACACAAAATGTAGAAGAAATGATATCAGGCTATATCAGGCAGATGGTTATGTTGTTTTCTAGGTCTTGAGATATTTATTGTATTTGTCTGCTTTGAAAACTTTGCAATTTGGAATAATTTATTTCCAATTCTGAATCATTATTCATTTGGACCTCGTTTTTATTTGTTACTTTGCATTATTTTTTTTTTAGCGGAGTTGCCCCTGACATGGTAAAACTTCCAGGTTTCAGAGAGACAACATTCACTCCTGGCTAGAGAATGATCCTATAAATTGTATGGTGCCGTGAATGCATTGGTAGCTGTCGAGCTAGGTCCTGTAGGTGGAGAGAGGCAGGGTGGGACGGGAAGACACAAAGAAGAAGAAGATTTGGTCCCTGCTCCCACAGAATTTACAAATGGGAGTGACAGGCCACGGTGGGAACTCCATGATTTGTCCCATCATAGAAGGAGACCCGAAGCTGTGTGGGGCCAGAACCCAAGCATGGTGCCTCAGCTCCCAAGTTACTCTCCTATGGCCCAAATGCCAGCCTATTAAAATGAGGGCTCCTGAGGGCAAGGTCTCAGTAGGGGTCCCGAGACTTTAGTGGTAGTGGAGGAAAGAGAGGGACCCATAGAGAAGATCAAAGCACCTTCATGAATCTGAACTAACATTCCCACCTTTTTGGTGTTGACATTTGGAGGCATCAAACTGCTTCTTTGTGTTCCCCTCACCTCATAAGTCCACCCATATTCTAGGCCCCTGTCAAGTTCTTCCAGAACCTTCCCAGCTACTCCAAATGTGTTTCCTACGTAGGCCCCTCCTCAGACCCGTGGCATCTCCTACCACCTGCCAGCTGTGTGTTTTTGGACAACTCGCAACCTCTCTGAGACCTGGGCATCTGCAAGATGGGGATGGAGAGTCTTCAAACAGGCCCTGCCTCCTCGTCCTCAAGAGTTGCGGTGAGTACCAAATGTGCAGTGGGGAGAGAGCATTTGGTGAGCTGTTAGCTGTACACCATATGGTAATATTCGCTGTGTACGAATGCTCCGTGCTAATGTCAGATCCTTCTACTTATGCCTGGAGTGGGTGCGGCATTAATGATCAGAGGCCCCCTGCAGCTTCTTGCAGAGAGTAGGTGGTCAACCAAGATTTGGGGGTGACGAGGTAGAATGTGACTCAGTTTCCAGAGTCCAACCTGGGCTGGAATGTGTATTGCTTATTATTTTGACCTGGAGGAAATTACTTAATCTTGCAGGGCTTCAGTTTCTTCATTACAAAATAGGAAGGAAAAATAACGACTTCACAGAACAGTTGAGGGAATTAATGAGGAAAGGCATATCAAGTGCCTAGTACACCTCCTAACATATCATAGAGTACGTGGTTTTTGCTCTTGCTATTGCATTTGGAAAAATGTATAAAAATACTTACTGGTATTGATTTCATACCAGGGACTCTGCTAGGCTTTAGGGATGCAAACACAAATAGGACTTGCGGTCACTGGAAGTCAAGAACATGCAAATTAAAACAAAAATGAGATACCATTAAAAAAAATAGACCATATTGGAAAAGTCTAAAGTATTGGTACTTCAAATATTAGAAAGGGTACAGAAGAGCAACTCCTTTCATTTATTGTTGGTGGGAGTATGAATTGAATTTTTAGAAAGCAATTTCACAATTTCTACTTAAATTTAAAATATATATACATGTTTAATGCAGCAATCCAACCTCTCTCAGTGTTTGCTCTGAAGAAACATTTAAGCATGTAAATTATCTGTAAACTCTTGTAAACATTTGCAAGAGTTTTCACTGCAGCATTGTTTATGAGTGAAAAACTGGAAGAAAACAAACACAACTCTAAATACTCATCAGCGGGGGAAGGCAATCTGTGTTACAACCATACTATGAAATACTACAAATCAGTGTTATAAAAAAAGAATGAATTAGATCTATAGATGCCCATGTGGGAAGAACTTTGACTAACGTTGTTAAGTGAAGAAGTAAAATATAGAAAAGTAAAATATAGAACAATGTATCATTTATGCTAAGAAGACAACAACCAGAAAACCATATTTTCTGTTTTTGTATCTGTGCATGGGAATGGCCAGGGGATGAAGCTGAATGAATACAATCAAATTGGTATAGTGTTTTCCCTGAAGAAGGGCTGGTTTTATAGGGCCCTATGGTATTTTGCTTAATAGGCTTTGTCTGGATTTTTAACAAGTAAATTTTTCATTCATTACTTGTGTAAAGAAAAATGAAAAAAAAAAAAAAAAAGACCAGGCACTAATGAGTTAAGAGTGTAATTATTTGAGATGAGCAGGGTATATAGGCTAGAATGTGGAAGCTGCTTTTTTTTCTTTAAATTTTTATTTAAATTCTAGTTAGTTAACATACCGTGCAATATTGGTTTCAGGAGTAGAATTCAGGGATTCATCACTTACATACAACACCCAGTGCTCATCATAACAAGTGCCCTCCTTAATACCCATCACCCATCTAGCCCACCCCCCACCCTCCATCAACCCTCACTTTGTCATTAAGAGTCTCTCATGGTTTGTTTCCCTTTCTCTCCTTTCCCCTATCCCACCCCCACCATGTGCATCTGTATTGTTTCTTAAATTCTACATATAAGTGAGATCATATGGTGTTTGTCTTTCTTTGACTGACTTATTTCAGTTAACATAATACACTCTAGCTCCATCCACATTGTTGGGAATGG